TAATGTATCATATAATGAGATGTTGTATAGTGCAAAGCTATGTTTACTTACAATAAATGACATCGCGAGAAAATCGGGAGGCTTAGCCTATCCTATCGTAAACGAATAACTACCTAGGTCGAAACTTGTCCATAATAATTGCGACATACCGGTTAGTCCACTATCTGGCCGATTTAATTTTGATCTCCACCACACCGTACCAACGCAAATATTCAATTATTCAAGTGCAGCGCTAATATAAAAGTTGGTCTAGGTTAAAACAAGACGCGAATGGCCTTTTGCACCCCATATAGTCGCGGTATATTTGACATAGCCAGAGGTAGGCTCTTCTCAAGACTTTCAAGGAATTCTGTTAAATAAAAATTTACAGTCTGTGTCTGCAGTCTAAGTCATATATAAGAGTAATTCTTTCTTTTTTCTCTTTTGGGGCAGAATCTATGTGGTAGAGTGTTATTTAGACATGACTTTTGTTCTATATAATTGATTTTATTTTATTTTATTTCTGCATTTTTCCAAATATAATAACAGAATAACAAAGAACATATACACGTAAGGTATAATACAAAATCTACAAACAATGATAACTTCATGTCAAAATGTCGTTTTTGGGGTTTTTTTTTTACATACGTACATAGGCCTATAATAAAGAAACTTAATATTTCTATAACATATTATTATAAATTTAGAGTATTATCCAAACTATCAGTTGAAAAAGTACAGGAGACCGCAATCATAAGCGAAGCTTGACTAGGATGTCGGCCTCAAATAGAAGAAAAAATAATCTCAAGGTAAAACTTAAAATGAAAAAGTGTTTAAATGTTCTTTGTGTATAATGTGGGCCTCCTGCCGATATTAATTCTTTATATTGCATTTTATAGTGTATAACTTGATTTGCAATGGTTTAAATGAAATTTGTAAATAAATCGATACTGATCTCATGTAACACAGAATATGTCACTTATTTAAGTGATACACACACGCAAATTATAAAACAAAAGAACAGAATATACCCATAAGATCAAATATTTTACATTTCAAAGTAAAGAAAATATCAACATTGCACAATGAATACAATATGTGTCTTGCCCTCTCAACTTTCTCTCTGCTCTCTTTATTCATTTATCTTGATATATCAGTACCCCCTCTCTCCCCCTTTCCTTCTCTCTCTCACTCCTCTATACTTCCCGTATTTTTAGAAAAAGAAAAAAAGCATGAGATCAATTTAAGAACAGGTAAGGATGCATTCCCCCAAAAATATGACATTTGGTCATCATATAGATGATTCAATTGCAGATTGTATGGAAAGCTGTATTCAATTGCATAGTATTGTATTTCAATTCAAAAGGGACAAAGCTTATTACAGATCGAACTAAACAAAACAAAAACTAAATACCTACATGTAGATAAGCACTACATGCATTAGTTTGAAATCCGATATTCAAGTATATTCATTATTATAATTATGTTAAGCTCATAAACAAATGTGATTCTATCGTCATTGTCACTCATTGAAAAAAAATTGCTGCAGCAGACATTGCAAAATCACAACAGAAGTATTGTATTATATCTACATTTAATCGAGATTCTGACATTTGAATAAAACATAAAATATGTCCAGATTAATGACATCATATTTTTTAGTGATCAAGAAGAATGGTAAAATTCAGCAATACAGATATTTTATAATAAAACAAAAGTAATCAGGCCGCGCATTATAGTCTACAAATAAATCACACTATAATTAATTTTATACGAAAGATCTAGAATATGTACTAAGAAAAGGATATTATATATGTGATATATGTTGTATTGTGCTTCTCTTTGGTTAATGTCTCTTTACATTGATAATGAATTAAAGAAACAACTAAGCAATTAAGATATTTTAAGATTAAAAAAGTGATCAGGGCGCGTATTATAGTCTACACATACATCAGATAACAATTATATTTGTACGAAAGATCTACAATATGTTTTGGGCATATGATATTTTGATTAAGTATCTCTTTGCAGTGATAAGGAATTGAAGAAACAATGCAGCAATACAGATAATTTATAAACAAAAAGTTGTACTCGGAGGGCTTATCATTGTCTAAACATAAATAAATTAAAAAATATATATATTTATACAAAAGATTTAGAAAAGCTATTAAGAATGGGATATTATATATATGATATAATTATGTTGTTATTGTGCTTCTCTTGGATATAAGTGTCTCTTTTCAGTGATGAATAATATAATTGAAGAAACAGTACAGCAATACAGATTATTTATAGACAAACAGTAGTACTCGGGGCGCTTATTATAGTCTAATCATAAATGAAAATTAAACAAGTTTGGAGTTTAAATCTCCAGTGGTTCTTGAGATATCATGATAACAATCTCAATGTATGGAATTTCATAAGTTGACCTCTGTGACCCTTGACCTTTGACCTACGTGCTCCAAAATCTAATCAGATTGTCTTCCTATGGTGATACACACTATCATTAAGTTTGAAGTGAAAATTCTCCAGTGGTTCTTGAGATATCGCGATAACGATCTCAATGTATGGAATTTCATAAGTTGACCTCTGTGACCCTTGACCTTTGACCTACGTGCTCCAAAATCTAATCAGATCGTCTTCCTATGGTGATACATACTATCCTTAAGTTTGAAGTTTTTCACATCTCCAGTGGTTCTTGAGATATCATGATATGGGGATACATACTATCATTAAGTTTGAAGTGAAAATTCTCCAGTGGTTCTTGAGATATCGCGATAACGATCTCAATGTATGGAATTTCATAAGTTGACCTCTGTGACCCTTGACCTTTGACCTACGTGCTCCAAAATCTAATCAGATTGTCTTCCTATGGTGATACACACTATCATTAAGTTTGAAGTTTAAATCTCCAGTGGTTCTTGAGATATTATGATAACAATCTCAATGTATGGAATTTCATAAGTTGACCTCTGTGACCCTTGACCTTTGACCTACGTGCTCCAAAATCTAATCAGATCGTCTTCCTATGGTGATACATACTATCCTTAAGTTTGAAGTTTTTCACATCTCCAGTGGTTCTTGAGATATCATGATAACAATCTCAATGTATGGAATTTCATAAGTTGACCTCTATGACCCTTGACCTTTGACCTACGTGCTCCAAAATGTAATCAGATTGTTTTCCTTTAGTGATACACACTATCACTAAGTTTGAAGTTTAAATCTCCAGTGGTTCTTGAGATATCATGATAACAATCTCAATGTATGGAATTTCATAAGTTGACCTCTGTGACCCTTGACCTTTGACATACGTGCTCCAAAATCTAATCAGAGCGTCTTCCTATGGTGATACATACTATCCTTAAGTTTGAAGTTTAAATCTCAAATGGTTCTTGAGATATCGCGCTAACAAACTCAATACAAGGAATTTCATAAGTTGACCTCTGTGACCTGTGACCTTTGACCTACGTACTCCAAAATCTAATCAGATCGTCTTCCTATGGTGATAAATACTATTCCCGAGTCTTAAGTTTAAATCTTAAATGGTTCTTGAGATATTGTGATAACGGTCAAACGGGACGGACGTACGGACGGACGGACGTACGGACGGACAACCCGAAAACATGATGCCTCCGGCACCACCTTCGGTGGCGGAGGCATAAAAATAAAACAAAATATTTATACAAAAGATTTAGACTATCTATTAAAAATTGGATATTATATGTTGTATTGTGCTTCTCTTTGGTTAAGTGTCTCTTTGCAGTGATAAAGAACTAAAGATACATACAGCGATACAGATATTTTATAAACAAAAAATGGTACTCGGGGTGCATATTATCTAGTCTACATATAAATCACATGCTATAATATTCATTGATAATATATATATATATATATATAATATATCTACACTGTATATATCATAATATACATTGTATTTTACTTCTCTTCGGTAAAGCGTCTCTTTACAGATGAAAACAGTATCCAACTCAGGTGGTAATAATGCGCATAAAATTCAAATAGATACAACATAACTTTAAGCTACAAGGAGCCTAGTGTCTGTCACTAATAATGAGAAACAAAGAATCAAATAAATTTCTAAAAACATTAACTTGTTGTTGATTGATGCAATTTTTATCCATCATTCACTACTAGTGTTTCCTCTAATAGACATGTGCGAATAACGTACACAACAGAAGCCTCTTTGAACAAACATGTAAAAGGACTAAATCGTAATCAAAGTGCACAATTTATGTTTAAATTTATCATTATCACTATAAGGATAATGATGATAATGATAACATTATTATCATTGTCATCTATTAATATCATCATGACTTTTAAAAATTATTCGTCATTATTATTATCATTATTATTATTACCATCATCATCATTCTTGTAATCATTATAATAATAATTGTTTTTAATATGTTTGAAAAACCGTGTTCTCAGCCAAATTAACCTTTAAAACTTAAAACATGTGTGTATTGTTTTAAAGTTTTAAAAAAAAATGTCTACATAAATGCAGATTCTGTCACGTCACAATCTTGGTGGTGAATTAATGTTAACAATATTTATATGAATAAGCGTTTTTGACTTTTTGAACTTCCAAGACTTTCCTGGAGAGATGGGGGCGTACGCAGGATTTTTTCAAGGGGGGGGGGGTTTTAAAAATTTGAAAATCGCGCCGGCCGAAAAGTCGCTCAGGGGGGGGGGGGGGGGGGGGGGGGGGGGGGGGGGGGGGTAAGAGGACACTTTTTTTCTTTTTTTTTTGTCTCAAAATTTCAAAATTTGACATTTTTTTACGTATGGGGGGGGGGGTAAGGTCACCTTATTTAGGTTAGCCGTGGGTATAATTTTTTTTTTTTTTTTTTTTTTTTTAAATAAAAAAAAAAAAAAAAAAAAAAGCCAAAGGGGGGGGGGGGGGGCTTTTAGGTTTTTTAGGGGGGTTTACATACATTAAAATACCAAAGGGGGGGTTTGAACCCCCAAAACACCCCCCTGCGTACGCCCCTGGGGTCACATCTATGAAAAAAGGACGATGGAAGTAGTGGTGGATGAGGGGGAGAGGGTAACCTTTTTAAAACCCAAGTGGTATACCTGAAATACCCACGCAGGCGATTATGCATCCCTAGTTGATAGGTGTCGTTTATGAAGCGCCTAGGTCCCTTAAGAATGCCGCTCGTGGTTGTACTTGCGTACACAAAATTCTGCTCTTTTTTAAAGAGTGGCAGCCCCCTCCCCTCCCCACATTCTGTAAAATTCTAGAGCCCCACGTGGTCCTGGACTGAAGATCATCGACTGGTGACAGTTCTACCACAGTTACGACAAGAATCTAGACGGGGAAAAAAATAGAAAATGATAAACGGCTGAGAACAAAGAAAGCAGGTCAGTATAAAAACGATTCTCCATGTATGCCTCTTGTCATAAATGTAATGGAATGATACAAAACAGCAAAGGGATCCATAATTATTCCTAAAATTCTACTCTGTCTAGCCTTGTCAACAAACTACGCATTTTAGTATGATAAATAGTTGTATTAAGCAGGTTTAAAAATCAAACAACTTGTCATTATTATAGAAATGAGTTCTACGACACATTTAAAAATTATCTGGATTATAGGATGTATAACAAAAACTCCTTTCCAAACAATCGTCATAAAAAATGTTCAGCAAGCTTTTATTCCGTTTTAACAACTAAGCACGTCTTTGTAAGAAGGAAAGGGCAAAACCATAGCCTAATTAGGATAGTTCTTATCAGATCGGACGTCAGGCTATTCCTAAATTTATTTGGTAATATTTTAAATTTGTAAACCTCATCAGGGTACTGGTCAATGTGCATACCTGCTCTTTGCCTCTGGCCTGCAGACATCCTAGAGAGTGACGTCACGGCTTGTTTTCTCGCCCTGTCCGAGAGCATGTTTCTTGCTGCCATCTGAACATGGCTAGGAGCCTCACCATCATCATACAGCGCGTCGACGTCCGATCGTGCGTACTTTCTGCAGTGCGTGCATAGAGAGCGAGATGGATGGTTTGCGGTAGTTCGCCGGAGAGCTAATGACAATCGTGATGTTGAAGCCCGTGTTGAAGTAGCTTTCTGACTTGTTCCCTTTACTCCTAACATATCAAGCTGTGAGAGAGGAAAGTATCGGAGATTGGTCTTGCTATCCATAACAGTTTTCCGATATGAGCAAGGGACCCTTTACCCACAAAACGAAATATGTACTGAAAAACCATGTTCCACTTAAATATTGATAATTGTGAAAGGATATGAGAAAATTTGAATTTCAAACGTCCCTCTTCGGAGTTTCTTCCCTCAAAACTGTCTCTCTTTACAACATAATGTGGACAAAACATTGCAAAAGGGGACAATATGTTACCTTCTTTTTTATTTACCATATCCATTTCCCCCCTCTCTGTTCGTGGAAGCATTGAAAATGTAAAGCTAAGTATATTTCTTTAATTATCTTTACAGTGCTTGATGAATTAAACCAAATCAAAATCGAATCCATTGAAATTACCTCAACCTCTAATCTGAAACCTCACATTTGCATACTCTTATATGACTATTTTATGTTGACATATTATGTACAGTAGCATTCATTTATAGTTAGATTCATTGTTGTTGAGGCCTTGAATTATTATACTACCATATTTTGTATTACTATGATGTATTGCTTATTTTACTTTGTTATACTTTGTTATTTTAACTCCTTTTTATATGATGTTTTTAATACCAGGTCCAAGATGCAAAACATATTTACCTCTGATCTTGTGTACCTGTATAAATATGTTTGAACAAATAATAACATATAACATAAACGTCATCTGCATTTGATTCCGTAAAATTGTGTCTCACTTGTTTGTCTCCGACTTTGCCAAGCCATGTTTCTTTGTCCATGGTGTTGATCTTCTTGATTGCTGCGTCCATGTCTCTTACCCTTGTCCTGTTCTGATGTTCTCTCTTCTCATTTATGGAGTCTCTGTAACATTAAAGATAAAGGTAAGTTCGGGTCATGCAACTGCATTGTGAAAGAAACGTTGTGGAATGGATCAGAAAAAGTTGATCATGTAGCGTGTAAGTATTTGTGTGTACTGCAAGGTTCTGGAGTCATCAAAATCATAATAAATTTTGCCCAGTCTCGGTAAAGGTACAACCACTGTACACAGAAAGATGTATATGGGACTACGCGACACGTGCGGGATATCTATAAGGTCCAAATAGATATACTAATTTACCAAATATATCAATTAGTAGGCGGTTTCTCAGCACAATTTGTATCATCGCGTATTAGTCAAAACATATTCTTTCACATGATTGGTAATAAGAGCTTCCATTTAATTTTTTGAGAGGGGGGGGGGCGAGTTCCAAAACTGGTCTTTACCTTTAACCGTGAGATTATTTGACACTGTGGTTTTGTGTGAACCGCCAGGAAGTACGGTTTCTCAAATATTCCGGAAACATTGAAAGCAAAGTGTGTACACATTCTCAAAAACATGGAGATGTTCGAATAATGTGGTTATACTGGGTTGGTGACACTCTGAGTTTCCCTTTGTGACCACAGTATGCCCACAGTGTTTACGTTGTTACTAGCATGGTAGCGATCTAAATGTCATGTGGTCTCATTGTGGCGCGTACGCAATTTTGTAAAGTTTATTTGTGATCACAGTCTGCTGCCGGTGTGAACAATGTCTCGACACTGTCAAAAATGAAAGTGAGGTTATATGGTATTGTGTGGACTCTGATTTTGTATTACCACAGTCTTCACCCATTGTGGACAGTGTGTTTACATTGCTTCTAAAAAGTTGAAATCACAATGTGTGATCTTACTGTGGTGTAAAATTTGGTGTGGTTCTTTCTGCGACCATAGTCTGGAATGTTGTTCACATAATTGTTATTATGAAAGTGTTCGTAACCCAGTGAGTGATCTCGATTTGAGGTAGACACAATGCGAAACTTCTATGCCCACAGTGTGTAAAAATGTACCACACTGTGGAAAAAGTGTGAGCATAGCACTTTTGCGTAATCAAAACTATGGAAAGACTTCTAACTCTATTCATACGCTTTTCTTTTTGAGAGAACATGGCGTATTGAAAAACCATCTAACTATATAATTAAAAAAAGGAAACTTAGAATAGAGCGCAGGTGAATCTTAACCCAATCTCGATCTCCTTCTCTATCGACTTTACAATAATCGAGAATTAGTTACTAATTTCAAATCTGGCTTTGTACTTCCAAATTGAAGTTAAAATACATGTATAGGAGCATAATTATTTACTCTTCTACAAGGAGGAAGCACTGTGAATTTTGAGCTCTAGCTCGTCCTTTCGACTGCACCGTTCCGATCTCATTGCTGACGAAGTTGTACCGGATGATGAAATTACAGGCAGGGACGTCGAGGCCTTCCTGCACGATGTCAGTGGCGATCAGGAGATTGGCCTCGCCTTCGAAAGAGAATGAAATCGTCGGACATGAATGATTATAGGTGCCCCAATATTACGCCCAGAGGACTTTTGCTCCAGGCTGTATTTCGATAGGGTCAGAGTCATGATTGCCATTTTTCTTACGGTTGACTTTTAGTGTTAGGTATTGTGCTTGCTCTAAGGTTGAAGTTAATATTTCTGTTTTACTGTAAGGATATTAATTGCGAACTATTGTTGTCTAAATGTATGAATAAAAAAAAAATCACATTTAGTAAAGCAACAGTATGTGATTTATCTTATTATATGTTTGTTTTGCTATTGACCTCGGTATATTTAAACAAAATGTACTGAAAACAACCACTTTCTAACGGCTCTAGTCTATACATCAAGTACATATCTCGTGGAAAATGTAATTTGTTGATAATGATGTGCTATTTCATCCAAGAACATCTCTTAACCGACGTGTAACTGATATTCACTGGTGAGTAGCACGTTGTATCCTGCAGCTTCCATCTCTTCGGCTTTAATAAAGCCTGGCTTATCCATCTTAGTAATAATAATAATAATAATAATATTCAGCTTTTATATCGCTTAATACATCTCGGACGTCTCTAAGCGCTTTACAGATATATTATTGCACCGGAAGTAAAAGAAAAGAAAAAAGTAAAGAAGATTCTAATATCAGGAAGAAAAAAAAGTTTTAAAACTTTGTATACAGTGCTTATAATACATCAATAAATGATGTTAGAAGGAACGGAAACAAAGTAAAAAAAAAACGCAAGACCATTCACCTGTCCTGAATTGATTAAGCGCAGCTTCTTGTTTTGCCGCAGTTTGGGCATCTTCCATTTCTTTGCCCTGACCGACGATCCGAGTCGGTCGTACCTTCGATGTCGAGTAACCGAAGTGGTATCCGATGAAGTCATACAGGGCTCGGGTAGCGAACCGTGTCCTTGCAAGTACAATGCCTGTAAAAGAAGACCAACATGTTTCCATAATGTCTGAGAATTCACTAAGGGAGCGGATCCAGGATTGTCGGAAAGAGGGTGGGGGCGAAATTGCTCCCCATATTACTTTATCTGGAGGAAATAGAGTACCGAAGCTGTGACATCATAAAAATCTATTTTCAGAATTTCTCAATTTTTACCTCATTTTCCGAAAGAGCATACAAAAATAATGTCCAAAGGTCAAAAACCAATTCTCGCTACCCCAAATAGCGATTCTGCCGAGATCCGGGGAAAATCCTGAAAACGCGCATTGCATTATGGGATAGCTTTTCGACATTACAGCTTCCTGTGCAGGCGTTCGTGATCACAACCCTCTCTTTCACGGTAGAGTTTAACGGCCTTTTGTGCTAAAGTCACTAATTCTGCCCGAAGCTTTCCATTGCATATTATAATCTGTACAAATTACACTGATTGGCATCGATTTTAGCGTGCGTGAAAACTCTGCACAGCGAACACAGGCGCTAGCGCCAGCGGGATGGGACTCTATACCGGAAGTTGTAGTGACGACCCGAGAGAGTGAAAATTACCTCATCTCGCGAATTTCGAGATTTTCGTACCTATTTAGGGTAGCGAGAATTGAACATGTTCAGTATTGACTGAGATATGACCATCTGAATAAATAGATTGCCTATAGGAACTCGGTGTTATTTTGCTCTAGTTCGTAAAATATTTACCTCTCGAATTTGGTATTGTGGTGAATACATGTTTCAGCTTGTCAACCAGTTCTTTGAGTTTAGGAGTGCTCAGGGGATCCTCCTTGCGTGCCAGCTGCTTCAACTTGGCCACACGGTCTTCATACATTTCTCTGCACGCTTTTCCCGCCTTGTTCATGTCAAACTCGAGCCGCTTCTGTTCCTTAAAAGCCTCTAATGCATGCAAAACGTAGCCGGCTGGTAGATCCTCGTAGGTTTGGAGGGCCATGTTTAGCTTCAGAAGATAGGACGCGGCTGTAAAATAGCCACATTTGTTTTCATTGAATCAAGAAAAAAATATATAAATCGTGATAGTTGGCATGACTTACCGCTAGTATCCACTCTACCATTAATCTTGTAAATATCTATTTAATAAAAATCAATATCATAACTTCTTTCTTCAGTAATATAATGTGATGGAACTGTTTTACGCATCTGTTTATTTATTGTTTTTCTTCAGATTCATTGATTTTATAAACGCGATGGGACTTTTTGGTTTTAGCACTCCCAATTAACTGATATTGTAATTATTACTATTATTACTATTATTATCATTATCATTATTTACCAATAAAGAGGGACATGTTCTTCTGTTCTGCTGTGGATGCTATTTGCCCAATCCATGTCTCATATAAGATCGATCCGTACGGTCGGGAAGGATCACCGACCGCCTTTCCAATCAAGAAACGTTTCTCCATATCTACCATAAGAGTCTTTAGTGTCTTCAAGAAGCAGGTGCTGATTTCTGAGGGCGCCCTGGGAGGGGTAGAGATTATTTCATCCAGCTCGGGGGGTCTGTTGATACCTTCCAGCTCTGTGCGATGATAAAATATGAAAAATAATTGAGATCTTGATCCGAAATTTATTGTAAGACTCGCCACCCCTGGCCTGCTGGAGTAAAGTGAGTCGGTCTGTGTGCACGTGCCCATGAAAAATTATTTTTAAAAACACAGGTGATCCGACGTTTGCTCTGGCGACACTTGCCCTGGACTTTATTGCGATACAGCGATAGAGATAGGCTTAGGGATAAGATTGAAATTGGGTTTTATGTTAGATTTCGCGTAAGAGTTAGGGTTAGGGTTGGGGATACGGTTGGTGTAAGGTTATAGCGTTGGGTCCAGTGTTGAGGTTCAGAATTCGCTTATTGTAGGAAATGGACGCGGAGTAATCGTGCCAAAGACAATTGTCGTTAAACCCCCCCCCCCCCCCCAAAAAAAGTGTTATTGATGATGTTTTTGCGAATACTAGTAAGCTTTTAAAGTTGCTCATGCGAGGGTATATAGAGGGCAGAGGGAATACGCTCAAATCACTCGAGGAAATACTTCCTACCGGGTATTCTACACCTGGGTGGGGAGAAGCAAATGTAGAATAATGTCTTGCCACAGGACATGTGGGGAACAGAGTGATGGGACACCTTTTTTCATACCTTTGACGTTGGAAGGATCTGTAACTGTTACAACACCAGTGCAGTCCAGGTTGGCGCACAGATTGACGACGTGTTTCACTGCGTCAGCTGACCCACCCGTTCCAAGAGATGCTGTTAAACCTGGATTATCAAAGAGAACATGCACAAAGAGCCGACGAAATACATCATCATTAGGGACTTTTAGATGTGCACGTTGACATAGGGGACTACTACGTGTGACGTCATTTTAAGGCACTGTCATTGCTTACAAAGGACGTCACACGTAGCAGTTCATTATGTCGACGTGCAATTAAAAAAGTCCCTATACGTGCAACTCATATGCGATACACATTCTCTTTTTCAATTATTAAAATTTGAGGAATTTGTACGTCACAAGATTACCCTTGAATAAAGGTGAAATGCACCGATTCAAAGACTCGCAAGACTTTCGAAAAACCAAATTAAGTCAATGTCTACACCCTGTTGAATTGCCTTAATAAGCTTGTTCTGATTATGTAATATGTCATTCGACTGTTCAAAAGATGACGCAAAGGGCTACTGAATTACCTTAGGTTGATTTTTCGAAAGTCTTTGCGATCGTGTTCGATAACAGTATGCTATCTTGCAAGAAATGAAACGAAATATTATTTTAGACATCCGCAGACGTTTTCCTTTTAAAGCTTATGCAATGGTCACCGATTAGGCATTTTCTATATAGAGGGAGCAAGTAGCTAAAAGTAGTACAGTGGGCCTTTAAGATCCTGTAATTAAATCAAAATTATATTTTGAATTGTGAAAAGGAAGGACCCGTACGACTGGTTACCCAGATCAAGGAAAATGCACCTTGAAATATGAAGTCTCGTATTTTACATAATTCCTATTCGTGTCTCCCCTAGCCTGCATCTTATCTTATCTCTCCTTCCCTGTCTTCTCAAAAACACGTTCACTCGGGCTTTCGATAAATCAACAAGGGAATTTTCTTAAACCATATTGGTCTGCTGTTAGAAATTAGGTTCGTGTTACGTAATACCTATGATATTCACTCGATCATTGAAATAGGTGACGCACAAGGCTTTTTAAACTGTCGAAGGTTCATTTTTCGAAAGCCGTTGCGACTTTCGAAATTTCTTTGGAAATTTAAAGTCCCTCTGCACTAGTTTGGCCGGGAGGGATTAGACCTTCCACCATGGTCACCGTCAGGTGGTTATCTCCAGGGCCGTAGCCAGAGTTTGATGTTTTTTTTTTTTTTTGGGGGGGGGGGGGGGCACATAGGTTATAATCGATCGACGTCCTGGGGAGGGGTCTAAAAAAGTTCAACCCCGTGGCTACGTGCCTGGTTATCTCATCAAATCAGCTCTCAATTAACATAAGAAAAAGGGGATCATGGGGACCAATGGTCACCGACTAGGCATTGTTTGTTATATAGAGGGCGCAAGAAGCTATAAGTAGTGCAGTGGGGCTTTAAATCACCTATCAGCCTCGAATGTGCAGCTTACCAACTATCTGAGGCAGACCTCCAAATGGCAGCCCAACCAACCAAGCTCCTCTCTTCTTCCTATCAATCAGCCGCTTCTTCTCTTGCATATACACCTTCATGATCTCGTTGTAAGGGTGGTTCTGCGTCGTATGATGACACTCGTCAAATACCAGCATCGAGAGCTCCTCGAACCGGAAGTGGCCATTGTGGAGCGCGTTGACCAGGATCTGAGCGGTGATCATGAGGACATGGACGCTGGGATTGTCGAAGGTTCTTCGGAATTGGCTCGTCTTCGTGACGGCCACTGCCGAGGTCGGCTTGAAGATATCCCAGAATGCATCGCGTTGCTGACCCTTCAGATGGCGTGTCGGGACGATGAAGGTGGCTGACTCCGGAGAGAGAGAGAGAGAGAGAGACGGATTCATAATTGTGAAGAGAATTCAGATTACATTGACAATCACAATCAAGTTACATCATTGTTTTCAGTTCCCCTTCAAGGCTTAGAAGTAGTATGTTTTTAGCGGGGTTTTAGAGATGGTTAAAACAAAATAACATGCCCCCTTTCTTTTGCTGGTTTGTTAAACATAATTCCCCCCCCCGCCCCTAGCTCAACCCGGTAAAGAATCCCGGTTATGTCTTGGTATTGTGTGGATGGTTTGATACCTTAGGATTTTCATTATTTTCTTAACAGGTAGAATACGTTTCCTGAGGTCTGTCTGTCATTTTCTGGGGGAAACATCTTACACAGATCGAAAGTGGAAAATTGTACTTTAATGACTTGTAAAATTACCTTTAAAGCGCTCTCCTTGTTTCTTCAGTTCGACCATCCTACGATGGCAGAGCGAAGCAGCCGTCATCGTTTTACCCGAACCCGTAGGGGCGCAGATGATGTAGTTATAGCCTTGAAGCCCTGGAGCAGCGAGCTCCTCCTGGTAGTGTCGAAGCCTCTTGCCCTGACTCATGGCTCTAATGATGTAAGATATCCTGGTATTTAGAAGGGCTAACGATGTCTTAATAGACATTATTTTCCCTAAATGTTCGAAATATTCCTAAACGCAGATCAGTTTTCAATTTTCAAGTTTCGTAACGAATGGTTTGCTACAGAGTCTCGTCGGCTACCATAGTCGGGCCATATATATCTACAAAAGTCAATTGAGGCTCATAATCTTGGTAAAATAAATGTACTTTTAAAAACTCCTCCAACTAGTGCGATGTCTGTATATAGGTACTAAAAAGATGGCCACGTGTCTCCAACATACATAATTAGATTTAGAGCGAAAATAAAGCATGGATTTATGACCAAAGTAGTTTTGCCGAACGTGCATGTGTTCATTCGTCTGATCAAAATTTGGTACCGTATATTCCAAAAGAATAGCTTAAGCCTTAAAGGTACTATGTCCCATTTGCAGCCAAAAAAAAATGAAAAGGTTAAATACCAACGGCATTTGAAAGATAATACTAAATTAGAACTTCCCTCAAAACGAAAGGGATTGAAAATGTCTTTTAGTGGGAAAATAACGACCATTAGTTGTCGAATCGACTTTAGTGATTGCAATCATTTTAATAATAGTCTGATTTTCAGACCCTTGTATATACCGAATGGTCGTACGTTCTGTGCTGTGCAAAGATTCAATCAGTTTTATGTTGGCCATTACAAGAAGTGGGTTATTGATGTAGACAAATGCTCATGTACCTTTACAGCCCATTAATTTTCATATTTTATTACCAAAGAAAGAAAAAAAGTCAGTCAGTCACTTAATAGTTTTTGACAGTGAAGTCTAGAATGTCAACGGGTTTCCTTGTATATACTTGACACTGCTAACGTTTAAATTTCACAGGTAGGACATACTTGACATTTTCTTAATTCCTGCAAAGTTCTGCAGAATTTGATGTTGGCTGCAATTGGGACATAGTACCTTTAAGGTACCTTAAAAAAAGAAATGTAGGTGACTTTGTTATTGTGGGATGAACCTTAGTCCGTAATGTCGGCAAAAAAAGAACAAGATCTGGTCATCTTTGAAACATGCTCTATGAGATGGTCAATTGCTCTGAAACTATTCACGTGCAATAAATGGAAATCAAATAGTCCAGGAAATATCGTTTTTGTAACATCAAAAATTTCGTTCTTTAGCCCATGAGGCTATTCGTCAGCGATATTATTATTTGAAATATAGTGTAAAGACCAGGGGAAATTCCAGGATTTTCCAGGGGGGGGGGGGATCAAAATGTACGAAAATGCGAGCGCGAAGCCTTTTCTGCGTGGGGTCTGGGGTCCGCTTAAGGGCCCCGCACAACTTTGAACCTTCGTTCGTTCGTGTCTTAGATAAATGTGTCTTGATCTTCGGAGTAGTTGCTACAACCGGCCGTGTCAGACACGTTGCCCCGGGGTGCGAGATAGGACTCTTGTAGCGTGCCCCCATTTAACACAATTATACAATAACAATTAACATTACATTTAATTAAAAAATGAAGCGATTAATATTACTCTCATGTTACGGGGAAAGATATATATATATTATGAATCAATTGATTTGGTCGATCCAGGTTGAGGGCACAAACACTGCACTACTGGACAGAGATCCTAATAATTATAGAGCTCGGTCATGTTGCTCTGTTCGCCAGCAGTTTAAGCATATGGACTGCTGGTGAACAGAGCAACAAGACCAAGCCAATAAAGTTAATAATGGACTTGTAAATATCAAAATGAGATTAGAAAATGGGGTTAATGTTGGGGTTAATGTTGGTGTTAATGATGCATAACTAATTTTCTAATTCATAAAAGGGGTTATTGGTCATTTAGGAATAAATATATTCTAGGCAAGAGGTAACTAACTTGATATGAAAAGGATGGGTTTTATAACATGCCTATATAATGTAACCAGGTATGTTATGCTCTGGTAAAGCCGTCATGCGATAGTGGATCTCCAGCGCAAAGCAACAAGAAACCAAGGGATAAATGGGTTGATTGTTTGTACACAGGATAATGCAAATTTAAATAGATATTTAATTTTTAGCCCGTGGTCGCTTACAAATAAAATCTTGATAATGTTTCACTTCATCATTTCAAGCACGGTCGAAACCATGTGATTTCCAGACAGATGAACAGAGATAGGATATTGATTGACAGTTTAATAATAACGTATTTAGGTCTGTTTGGAGCCAGAACGACGTTAAAGGTAATACAAAGTTTGGGGAAATTTTGAAAATTGGGTGGATAGTGATTCTTTACAATTCTGATATATTTGGATGCCCCTGTGGATATATTAAAAGCACTAGAAAATTTAGGCCCTAAAACACTTCTGCTTTCGAGAAAATTTGAATATAAAAATTTACCGGTGCTCCCGGTTAATTTTGATAAATTTCAAATAGCGTCTACGGCCGTATAATGGCAGCTGCGACCATGAAAATCTCAGTATATGTAGTTGTGATATATAATTTCCAAACGGGAATAGCTAATCGGTCGATTTTAGTCAAGAAACATTGTTTTATAGCTTAATTAATATCTTGACCTTGAGAGGGGGCTATACAACATAAAGAGTTTATTGTTTACAATTTCATAACTTTAGACTCGATTTCAACCGCGACAACGATCAATGAATATTGTAGGATCGCATATGCTTCCATTATGTTAATTTGAACCAAATTCATGACCCCATACCAAAACTTTGTATTACCTACATCCTCCTCGTTCCAAACAGACAACAAACTATTCCACCTTGTTCTAATACAGTCAAACCTGTCTGTTGAGGCCACCCAAGGGAAACAGAAAACGTGGCCACTATAGACAGGTTTTACAACACACATTTGTTTCTCGAGGGAGACAAAATACATGGCCACTAAAGACAGGTTTGACTGTAATTGAAAATCTAACCTGACATAGCGACAAAGATTCTGTTCACAAGGGACTCTGCAGGCCCTAAAAGAAATCAACGCTTTATGGTATACATTCTGAGGCATTTTGAAATTAGTAAACTGATCATTTATTTAAAAATATATTTTGGGAAGGTAAAAGGGGGCGTGCGCCCCCAGGCCCCCTGCACGGATCTGCCCCTGAAGACCACACCACACGATAATCTCACAACGATCCGATTTTGGAATAATTTGCTATAGCATTTCATAAGAATATTCAAATGTAAAATCTAAATGACCGATGATCTGAATGGTCACAGCCATAGTTAATAATATTGAAATTCCAAGGCGTTTCATGCTTCCTTAGAAAAGAAAAAAAAAATCGGCTCAGATTCGTGAGAGATGTCAGTTTTGTCACACCAGTCGTGCGATTGTATACGATTCAATGGCTTTTATTCTGACTATAGAAGAGGTAGATTATGCACTAAAATTCAGATTGTTGGTATTCTTATCATAATTTAGAACTTACATCACGAGAATGATGTGTTAAGACATCGTTGTGTTGAGCATTGCGTGTACGCATGCGCAGAGTTGAGACTTGGCATAAAACATTGGAAGTCAACAGTATGATGGTAACTTTGTTTAAATGTGTCCTGCTTACTGCGTCTTTGCAACAAACCCACATATTTAAAGCATAACAATTTTGGCGACAAGGAACGGATTAGATAATATGGAACGACTGGATTATGAGACACTGGGAAAAAGTGGATAATTATGGATTCTGCTTGGATTGCACATCGTCGTGATTGTGGGCTTGTCAGTGTAATGCCTTCGCCAGTCCTACGCCTAGCTATGTGCAGAATTTGGCCTCAAGACAACCTGGCTTACAGGGAAGGTGATTTCTAGGTTTAACCCCCTTGTGTGCTGAAAAGTGAAACTGTGATGTGCATAGAAAAACGCCATCATTGTGTCCAGACCCACATAGTATTAGTTATGGTGGCCCTGAAGGGACATCGCGAATAGACTAAATCGTGAAAAATATGCGATAAAATTCACGATATCGTCAATTTTATCGCATATTTTTCACGAAGAAATTCACGAAATTGACGATATCGTGAACTTTATCGTGAACTTTTCACGATGAAATTGACGATATCGTGAATTTTATCGTGAAAAGTTCACGATATAAAGTTCACGATATCGTCAATTTTATCGTGTACTCTATCGTGTACTCTATCGTGTACTCTCCTGACGGGCGCTTCGTAAACAAAACCAGCCCTAGCTGGGGGAGACAGAGAGAAGGAAAAAAGGGAAAGGGAAAGAGAAGATAAAAGGAAAGAAAGAATAATAAGAAGAAAAGAGGGAAACGGGGGGGGGGGCGAAGGGCTCTTGCCTCCTCCTCACTCCCCCCCCCCCCCCCGCCAAAAAATAAATAAGGAGAGAGAGAAGGGAAAGGGAAAGGGAAAGAAAATATAAAAGGAAAGAAAGAAGAGGAAGAAGGAAAGAGGGAAACGGGGGAAGGGCGAAAGGCTCTTACCTCCCCCCCCCCCGCCAAAAAAATAAATAAGAGAGAGAGAGAGAGAGAGAGAGAAGGGAAAGGGAAAGAAAGAAGAGGAATAAGAGGGAAACGGGGGGGGGGGGCGAAGGGCTCTTGCCTCCTTCCCCCCCCCCCCGCCAAAAATAAATAAGAGAGAGAAGGGAAAGGGAAAGAAAATATAAAAGGAAAGAAAGAAGAGGAATAAGAAGGAAAGAGGGAAACGGGGGAAGGGCGAAGGACTCTTGCCTCCTCCCTCCCCACCCCCGCCAAAAAAATAAATAAGAGATAGAGAGAGAAGGGAAAGGGAAAGGGAAAGAGAAGGTAAAAGGAAAGAAAGAAGAGGAAGAAGAAGAAGAAAAAAGGGAAACGGGGGCGAAGGGCTCTTGCATCCCCCCGCCCAAAAAATAAATAAGAGAGAGAGAGAGAGAGAGAGAAGGGAAAGGGAAAGAGAATAAAAAAGGAAAGGAAGAAGAATAAGAAGAAAAGAGGGGCTCTTGCCTCCTCCCCCCTCCCGCGCCAACAAATAAATAGGAGAGAGAGAGAGAGAGATAGAGAGAAGGGAAAGGGAAAGGGAAAGAAAATATAAAAGGAAAGAAAGAAGAAGAAGACGGAAAGAGGGAAACGGGGGAAGGGCGAAAGGCTCTTACCTCCCCCTCCCCCTCCCGCCATAAAGGGAAAGAGAAGGGAGAGGGAAAGAAAATATAAAAGGAAAGAAAGAAGAGGAAAAAGAATAAGAAAAGAGGGAAACAGGGGCGAAGGGCTCTTGCCTCCTTTCTTTTCTTTCTTTTCCTTCTTTCCTATTCTCCCTCTTTTCGTTTTTCTCTTTCTTTCTTCTCTTTCCCTTTCCTTCTCTCTCTCTCTCTTATTTATTTTTTTGGCGGGGGGCGGGGGGACGAGGTAAAAGCCCTTTGCCCCCGTTTCCCTCTTTTCTTCTTCTTCTTCCTCTTCTTTCTTTCCTTTTATCTTCTCTTTCCCTTTCCCTTTCCCTTCTCTCTCTCTCTCTGATTTATTTTTTGGCGGGGAGGGGGGGGGGGGGGGGAGTGAGGAGGAGGCAAGAGCCCTTCGCCCCCCCCCCCCCCCGTTTCCCTCTTTTCTTCTTATTATTCTTTCTTTCCTTTTATCTTCTCTTTCCCTTTCCATTTTTTCCTTCTCTCTGTCTCCCTCAGCTAGGGCTGGTTTTGTTTACGAAGCGCCCGTCAGGAGAGTACACGATACACGATAGAGTACACGATAAAATTGACGATATCGTGAACTTTATATCGTGAACTTTTCACGATAAAATTCACGATATCGTCAATTTCATAGTGAAAAGTTCACGATTAAAGTTCACGATATCGTCAATTTCGTGAATTTCTTCGTGAAAAATATGCGATAAAATTGACGATATCGTGAATTTTATCGCATATTTTTCACGATTTAGTCTATTCGCGATGTCCCTTCAGGGCCACCATAATTAGTAGATATTAGTAGATGCCAGGGAAACATCTCTTATGGGGGTTCAAAATAGCAACAACAAAACAAAATCGCCTCGTCGCTATGCGGTTCGTGGACGATGCCCCGCATGTTAGTAGATGCCAGGAAAACATCACTTACCGGGGTTTAAAATAACCACACACAAAAAATCAAATAAGTCACCCCCCCCCCCCCCTTGGCAAAAAGCTAGCTCCGCCCCTGATTTCCACAATTGCTTTATCCACGTACACCATAATATAGTTAGAAGATGATAGACAAGTACGTCGCCAACATTGTTATGTTTGCAGTATGTGGGTTGGTGCAAAGACGCAGTCAGCAGGACACATTAATAGATCATCATAATGTTGACTTCCATTAACGCCATGTTTACTAGTGCAAAGTCTCAACTCTGCACATACGTGCAAGCAACGTTTAATACACTATGATGTAACTCGATACATAACATGATGCTTGCTTAGATTTCCTTATCTGATACAATTGCTATTTCTTTGAAGATCGGATCGCAGAAGAATCGTATAGTATGCGGTGGGATTGAACATTCTCAATCGTGCGATTTATTAAACTGTATTGACCCGTACAATTATATAAACACAATCATGCATGTGTGTAGGCGTAGCCAAAGGAATTCCCCAACCAAATAATGAAATTCATTGGCACACCCAATATGTCAGCATAATCGAACCTACATGTATTTTATTTCTATTTAATTTGTCGTTCTCCATGGCTGTAAATATACTACCCCACCCCCCCCCCCCCACAAAAAAAAAAAATATATATATATATATATATATATATATATATATATATATATATATATATATGTAATAATAATAATAATGATACAAAAACAAAAGGGGGGAAATGAAAAAATAATAGAAACAAATAAAAAATGAAAAATCTTACAACCATTGAAAGGGACTACCGTGATTATGATATGATACATCCAACATAATTGTAGAACATTAAAGTTAAAGATATGTATATAAAAACTCTGTCAACCTTACATTGCCGATCACGAGGCGGAAATAAATGTCACAGTCCAACTCAATTTAATTAAATGTGCATGGAGCAGAGATAAAAATCGCGTGCATATAATTATGATAAAATTTCATAAATATTCATGTAATGGTAAGGTGAAATATTATATTTGATATAATCTTACCTGGTAATGTTGTTATGTGGAATCTTCAGGCTGAAACAAGAGAGAGGTTTATTCAGGTGGCAGAATGAAGAGTAAGACCAGAAAAATGAATCTCAGAAGAAGATCCTGTGTATCTGTAGAAATACTGCTCTCTCTCTCTCTCTCTCTCGATTGATCGATCGAACAGAGAGGGTTATTCAAGATATGAGCAAAAGGCAGCAATTGAACAATGTTGAACCCTACATCGTCGCCTTGCACCAACTATTTCGCAATTTGATCGCAGTTTTCCGCACTGCAGAGCACAGATTACTAACTGAATCTGCTATACGGAATGCTGGGAAATCCCCCAAACTTGTCTTTAAAATCAGACGCTTTTAAGCTTTATGTTTCCAAAGTATTACAAATGATCTAGAATCATCCTTCAGCTTGTAATATTAGACACTTTCGAATACATTTTGGCATACAGAACAGAACAATACAGATTGATACCTCATCGCACGAAATTTTCATTTTAAATTCATAAATCCCCCAAAATTTAATTCGACATTACACACACACACAGGTCTGAATTTGAGCGCACATGTACGCATGCGCAGTTTTGGGGAATCCCAAAAGCATTGACCCGACTGGCGGGTGACCTCTGCTTCAGAGGAGAGTAGTATTGATCAGTCATTTATATACTGCTCCCATCTCTCTCTCTCTCTCTCTCTCTCTCTCTCTCTCACTCCCTCTTTCTCTCTACCTACCTCCTCATTTATCTAATTTCTTCCTTTCCCCTCTGCTTCAGCCTATCTCTCCCTCTCTCTCCCTCCCTCTCTCTCTCTCTCCCTCCCTCCCTCGCTCTCTCCCTCTCATATCCCAATACATGTTGGGGTTCATTCTCTTTAATTCTATCCCATGCAATCCATTAAGTATTTCATATAGTGCCTCTTCCTTGCAGCTATGAGGCAAGACTTTGCTTGTGCTGGTAGAGAGTAGAAGAGAGAGAGAGAGAGAGAGAGAGAGAGAGAGAGAGAACAATGTCTTTCAGGGGCGGCGGAGCGACTTCCAAAGTGGGGGCACCAACAAAAAAAAGAAACTTTCTGGACAAAAGAAAGCACATTACAACGGGAAATCTCAACAAAAAAATATACATTTCTCAGACATTGTTATAAACCCCTACATTGTGATTGCATCCCCCCAACCACTCAGTGGTAATAGGGTATACGCGTATGCATGTTCCCTCCTTTTGAAACACTCCCCCCCCCCCCCCCCCCCCCACCCTAAGTCCGTGTGTGTAAAGTCAATACAGGCCGATTTTGTGTGTGCTACGAGCCAGACGCGTGCGTGAAAAGTACCCCTTTACCGGACATTTTGGGAACATGAATGCGGTCCCTCTATTCCCGGTGTGTGTGTGTGGGGGGGGGGGGCGGGATTGCATTATCTGGGATGATTTCTTCATTTGTTTCTCTCTATGCATCATACAAGATATTGCTTAAGCATCATATAATACTTTGCAGTTGGGTGGAATGGTCTGAATATTCATTTGCGAGTGAACGAAGCGAGCGTGGACAATGACAACTTATAAAGAGGAAACAAGGGAAACGCTTTTCGCGGTCTCGCCTGTATTGCGCAATTCGATATGATGAAAAATTGAGGTTTGGACACTTATCACACTTATCACACACAAAATGGAGCACATGTCAAATTACAAAGGGTAGTTAATCAGAAATAAAAATGGAGCACTTCTTACACTTGAAAAGAGACAGTCACCGGCCAGGGATGAAAAAGGGCACTTATGAGAATGGGCATGAGTCGACGGAAAAGGGGCACCCATCAGATGTTCAACATGCATCTATCAACTTGATAGATGCATTTATAAGAGGTGAAAGGGGCATTGATCAGATATGAAAGGGACACTTTTCATAGGTGGAAACGGGCATTTATGAGAAGGGGAAGAGGCTCTTAAATCATAAGGAAAAAGGGGAACTCATTAGAAAGGGGCACATATGAAAATAAAAGGTGCGCTTATACGATTTAAAAAAGGGTAGTTATTAAAAAGGAAAGGGGCAATAATTATTGTCAAAGTAAAATGGGCATCTCTCAGATTTTTATAGGGCAATTATCAGGGGACACTTCTCGTACCTGAAAAGGGACACTTACTATAGAGATTAAAAAAGGGCACTTATGAGAATGGAAAATGGAACCTTGTCGAAGAAAAAGGGGCACGTGTAAAAAAAAAATGGGCACTTATCAGAGGTGAAAAGGGAAAGGAGTACTTTTACAAAGTAATAGATGCACTTGTCAAAGAAACGGGGGCACTTTTCTATGAAAGGGCACTTTTTACAATGTTAAAGGGGCACTTTCTCTGTAAAAAGGGGGCACTTCTTACAATGTTACAGGGACACTTTTCCTATGTAAAGGGGCACTTCTGGGGTACTTTAAAAAGTGGGGAGGAGGCACTGTGACCCCAGTGCCCCCCCCCGGAGCGCTGTCTCTAATATATGTTGTATAAATATGAAATGGAAGCAACATTTTAATTATGCCAGAAAACACCATGTCAATTTCTCACGTTTTAAATTTTCTTTGTGAACAGAGTCTCTCCCTCTTTCTACCATACCAACAATAACATTCATTAGCAGACATATTTGATTGGTGGATAGGCTTACTGCTTTAAATGATATAGGGTGGCCCCTGTTTATCTACTAATGGATGTCATGCACTTGAACTGCTAATTCCATTATTCCATCACATAAATTATGAAAATCAAAATTGTCATCGCAAAGATTCCATCAGCTTTAGTGACGTCATCCTGATGTATTCATCGTTTTGAACCTAATTTTGGGGATTCCCCACTGCCAAGCTAGATCATACCACTCGTAAAAGTGGGGGATTACTCCTTCAAAACTTATTCCAGTTTTGATAACTTAATGCTATTTTATATACTTTTGACTGATATTATTTATACATAATCATATAAAGAGCAAAGTCAAAAAGATTAATCAATTGATTTCTTAATAACAAAAACAAAAAGCCACACACAAAATCTTGACTAATAATTTGACCCCTCTTTGAATGCAATCGGGCGTCAGTAACCTCGATCATACCTTATGTGCAGCGCAACTATACCACCGGTGCGTGTACATACACTCTACTAGACTCGCCCGTCTACAGCTATGTGAGTGAATGGACCTGAAAAAAAGGTTAATACAGTACATAATATTTCGTATAATTTTTCTTTCGCGATGGCTGCTGAATTCAAAATTAAGAAAAAACCCACTTTCAGGAGTATTTTGCTGCATATTAAGAAAAATTTGACTAAAGAGGATCGAAAGGATTTGGTGTATTTAAAACAATTACCCAAGAAGGATACAGAAGAATGTGAGCAAGATTTCTACCATTTTCTTGATTACATGTCGAACAGACCAAACGATTTTGGTTATGGCGAGGACGATCCATGGGAACTGTTTGAAGACCTGAATGAGATTGGACGTCAGGATATATGCAACACAGTCATGCAGAAGTATGGTAATTATAATAAGCATTAAAAAAGATTAGCCTGTCATATGCCCGGCCCAGGACGCGTCTTTTTCTAACCTAGACCAACAATTTCTGTCTCTTTCGTTCGTTGGGCTCTGATTTGGCCATTTTGGGTAGTCGACCCTACCCAAATCAGAGGCTAACGAACGAAAGAGACAGAAATTGTTGGTCTAGGTTAGAAAAAGACGCGTCCTGGGCCGCCAGCCGGGCATATAAGACGTATAAGTCTTCGCTACGCCTACGATTTGTGCGCTTGTCGTCCAAGTCAGATTTTTGCTAGATCTAAACAGTAGAATTTTAACCATTCAGAAGAAATATTAATTCAATGACATGACAAGCACACAGGACCAACTATCACAAGTACCAGAGGGCACCGGGGGTTGGCGGTCACTAAAATCCTTTTCATTGGCAACGGCTATAGACCCTAAAAATATGGGATCTAACTTCAGTCAAAGAACTTTTGATAGTAAGCAAATATTAATCGACTACGAGGGTATGGTGCAAACTATCATAGCCGAGGTGATCTCGATCGGGGCTACTATCTATGGTAGCCCCGAGATCCCCGAGGCGATGATAGTTTGTATCCATTGCCCGAGTAAAGGAGGTTAATATTTGTTTTATATCCCACATCGGCAATAAGGTCTATTTAAAGTGAATTTTACATAATTAAGAACTGATTCTGCAGACAGTTTAGCTTCAGCTAGATTTTACAAAGCGCAACATGCATACATCTAATACAGTCGATGCGCGCTCATTTGACATTGACATTGACTCGCGTAACCTACTTTGCTATGCGTATTCAATGGGCAAGGTTGGGCAAGTGGGGTAGCAGCAAAAAATTACTTTACAATAAGTACTATCTCAGGTAGATAGTACCTATCTATACCTTTTTCGTGCTTTGTACAATTAATGCAAACAACTATACATGAGGGATATAACAATTAATAACAATAATAATACACAATATTAATTTGGCGCTTAATACGGGTGTCTCTAAGCGCACTATAGTCTGACTAAAAAATCATTTACCAAAACTTATGATAAACACACAACTTATACATCTGTATACACCTGGGGGGGGGGGGGGGGGGGGGGGGGGGGGTATGAGGACACTTCTTTTTTTTTTGGTCTCGAAATTTGAAAATTTGACATTTTGCTCCGTTGGGGGGGGGGTAAGGTCATCTTTTTAGGTCAGCAATTGGTATATATTTTTATTTTTTTATAATTTTTTTTAAAATTAATTAATTTTTTTTTTTTTTTTTTTTAAGTTCCCAAAGGGGGGGGGGGGGGGGGGGGGGGTTCTCAAAAATACACACATACAAAATACCAAAGGGGGGGGGTTTAACCCTCAAACCCCCCCCCCCCCCCCTGCGTCCGCGCCTGTACATAAGGGTTATCAAATCACAACTCCTATGACACATATTCCAGGCCACAAAGTCAAGGTCAAAGGTCATTTTTAGGTCAGTAGACTTGGATGATGTTTCACAACTTAATATGAGAATTAATAAACCAATTTCTGTTATTTGTTCATATTCTATTAAAGTTATCGATCTTGGTACAAATTATAGTAAATAATTCTTCTGATGATTCTTAGTCAATATTCACTTCAAAATGCTGAATATATTCAGAGGATTTTATTTTGAGGGGCCTGCTTATGGGCCATCCTGGCTATAAATAATGTCCCAACCTCAATTTGTCTTCATATCGAATTGCGTAATGCAGGCCATTTCCCTTGTTTTGTTAAAGCAGTGAAATTTCGGTATGCATGATTTTTGTTTATACAAGAGAAATAAAGAGATATAGTGCGGACACTTTCCTGTTCTTCCTATTTTAAAAATGTCATTGTTTTACAATTATGCTGCATATATTTCATTGCCACTGGTTTTATTAATTTTTTCCATCTTTTGTTTCACCTCAATCTGAATTGTAGAAGAGCTTAAACAGTACAAGGATTCTCAGACAAGAAGCCAAGGACAAGGATCTACAAGCCCTTGTGGATCAGGAACTCCTGCTCCAAACCCGCCGTCTCCTGGATTACCTGTTGTGGGTAGTAATATTAGCCAAGGTCCTATTCCATCCCCAAGCACACCCCTAGGTCAGCTTCCTGCATATTATCCAGTCTCTCCACCACACAACAGCCCAAGATATCATCAAGGTGGTACTTCACCTGGAGCAATTGCTTATGAACCACCATGCAAAGTCCCAGGCTCACAGTTTCAGGGTTCAACACCGGAAGCTTTCCCTACCACTTCACCTAGAGCAACATCTTTTGAACCACCATGCAAGGTTCCAGGCTCACAGTTTCAGGGTTCAACACCGGCAGCTTCCCCTACCACTTCACCTAGAGCAACAGCTTATGATCCACCATGCAAAGTCCCTGGCTCACAGTCACAGGGTTCAACACCAGCAGCTTCTCCTACTAGTGGAAACCCACAACAGAGCTCAGCATTAAGCCCAAATCCTGGTGCTGGGACTACTTCTAGTCATGGATTAAAGAGCACAGAGCCATTGCCACCAATGCCAAGCAATGTCGTCCAAATGCAAGGTTTACCCAGTGACCAGTCATCTGTTGGAGTGGTCCATGCCAACATTGGTCAAGATGTCAGTTCAGTTAGTTTACCGAGATCTCTAAAAATCAATGAACCTGTGGGTAATCCTGCGGCTGTTGATCATGGCTTGAAGAGCTCAGAGCCACTCCGAACAATGCAAAGTAGTATGGAACCAGGGCAAGGTAAGCCTGCTTCAGCTACCCCTGCTCATCCGTCTCCTGCTAACTCAAACTCAGTCATCAGTACAGCATCGCCACTTACGAGCAACGATCCAGCTGAAATTGGCCATTCAGGTAATGCTAATGCTGAGCAGCTTTCACATTCCAGTTCAGGATCAATGATAAGTTCAGCAAGATCCTTGCGCACTAGTGATGAACAAGCAGCTTCACAGATACAGATTCGAGCACCTTCCTCTCTGCGGGCTGCTGGTAACATGAAACACACCCTAGAATATGTGATCCAACCATCCTCAACACCTGATCATCTAAGGGATGTTATCCAAAGACTTCTCCTTGAACTCAGTCTCATTGAGGAAGAGGAGATTGGGACGAGTGTTAAGAGTAATCCAAGCCAACAACAGCCTGTCATTGGTGAAGGCGACACGGTAAGAGATTGTGCAAATGCACCTTCTAGAGCAGAGGTTCTCCCAGCAGATGTTGTCAGAGATTCTGCATCAGATCCAGAGCAAGTAGGTGAATCTGCAGCAGGGGCACTTGATTCTTCCATTCTTGACTTCCCTCAACCTCCAACAGACAAGAAGGTTATATTGAGAGGCTACCAGGTGGAATTAGCTGACCCAGGACTCCAAGGTGTCAACTATGTAATCTGTGCTCCAACGGGGTCAGGAAAGACCATCACAGCAGCTCAAATTTGCTACAAAAATATGATGAAAATGAAGGAAGCTGGCAAAGAAGATGACTTCAAAGCCATCTTCATTGTTCCTACAAGGCACTTGAAGAAGCAGCAGCGAGATTGCTTCCAAGATCTTTTCGTTTCAGGGCAGGTTACATCACTTGCGGAAGGGCAGATGTTCCGTGATGCCTTAGGGAAAGGTAATGTAAGAGTCTTGATGATAACTGCCCAGGTGTTAGTGAATGCCCTGACTCAGAATGAATTCAAGCTACCTGAAGTGTCTATGCTGATATTTGATGAATGTCACCACACCACCCTGAACCATCCTTACAATGAAATCATGCGACATTACATGATGGAGAAGAAAGCTGTTCTAGTTCAGCAAGGAATACCTGAAGAGCAGTGGCCTGTAGGACAGCCTGTAAAACGTCCCCAAGGAGGAATACCCCAGGTGGTTGGTAAGTTGTCCAGAATTGATTTACATTCTTAAATTTCTGCCCGGTTTGGCTGACTAAAGGCCTGTCGAAATATGCAGCAGCAAAACCCAGTAAAAAAAAGGTTTGCCACTTCATATTTGAATGAAAAGTGGACTACCATCAGCGACTGAAAATTAACATTAGTATTCTAGTCGTGTATTATGAGATTCTGGAATCATCAACATTAGTCAAATGGGCTATGTATTCCTGAAAATTACAAACTGAAAAGCAACAGAAAAATTAAAGGATGAGACAAGACTCCACAAGCATTTCGTCCAAAGTTTTAAGTTATTTTGAGTCATAAATTGCAGTTTCAGGAGTATATGTTGGTGAGATGTTGCTATGATAATATTCTATCACATGCATGTGAAAGCTTTCAGATTGATTGATTTAAATCAATCATAGCTCTTTATAAGACAGGGTCCAGAACTCAATGTTCTGTTTGAATACATTTCTTTCCTAGGGCTAACTGCATCGGTTGGTACAGGCACTTCTGATGATGCACATGGTCACATTGTTACGCTATGTGCAAACTTGGATAGCTCTGAAGTCAAGATTGTCACCGAGCCAGAAAATGTGCAAGAAATGAAGCAATGCAACAAGACGCCTGAAGAGGATCGGATAATTCCAGTCCCTAAGAGAGAGTTAACCCCAGAAAGTTCCCGTTTTATTAAAATTCTGGAAACCGTCATGGGAGAGATTAAGGAGAACGTCCTTAACAAGCACCAGGATGACTTCACCTCAAAAGGCATCGCATTCTACTCCCCAGCATATGGAACTCAAGAGTACGAGAACTGGATTGCCAAGATTCGTGCCTGTGCAGAGCTTCGCTTCCCCAACCTTGAAATCTGTGCCAATTATCTGTTCCGTCTAAACCTAGCCTTACTGCTGTACAATGATTTACGTGCTAAGGATGCACTAGAATCTATGGAGATCTTCAAGCTACAGACAAAGGGGAAACAGGATGAACTAAGGGATGGGCGACACTGTAGGATGATCTATGAGAAGAACTTGCAGGAGCTGACGGAACTAGCAAGTAAGGAGAATCCGTTGTCTAATCCCAAGTTACTCTGTCTACATGAGATGATCAAGAGGGTGTATAGCAAGGAACCGGAATCAAAAGGTGAGTATCGTGGATTTTATCAGATCTTCAATTGTTATGCCACATAGTGATGCAAAGCACTGCCACACGATAAAATCATTTTATGTGTGATGGAATGTCAAGTGGGGAAAAATTTAGTGTCAAACAATACCATTTATATCTTCATAAATATGTAAATGTGTTGTATTAAATAGTTCAATTAATTAAAGAATGAACTTTCTTTTTAGTTTTGCACATAACAACTCCTATGTTATAGATTGAAATGCAAGATGTGGATGACCTTTTGATGTCAATTGAATATGAGCTCGTCCTATCTTGCCCAATATGTTTGATTTGGCTTATAAGATTTGTTTTTAAAAAAAACAGGAGTAGTGACAGACATATACTTTGAAGTATATTAAAATTATTTAATAAAATTGTTTTCCGTGTAGGGATTGTGCTAGCAAGGACACGTTTTGCAACATATGCCTTGCTGAATTTCATCAAAGATTCTGAAGAACTGAAGAAACTCAGACCTCCAATTCAGCCAGTCCGAATAGTCGGACAGAGCAGAGAGATTGATCAAGGACTAACACTAACAAGACAAGAAGCTGCGTTAGATGCCTTCAAAAGCGGTAATGTCTTTTAGAATGTTTGAGGATGCTGTCTTTATGTTTGTGTATCATATCAATCTGCTCTTAAAGTTAAAGACCAATTCTGTTCATGCGATTGCATTGTGAAAGAAACGTTGTGGAATCGATTAGAAAAGGTTGATCATCTAGCATAAGTATTGGTGTGTACTGCAAAATTTGTATCATCACGTATTAGTCAAAACATATTCTTTCACATGATTGGTAATAAGAGCTTCCATTTCATTTTTGGAGAAGGGGGCGTTTCCAAAACTGGTCTTTACCTTTAAAGATTGCTCCCCCACAGATAAAACAGGTATTGTTAAGCCAGTTTACAGAATTCGGAGCAGAATAAGACTCAAATGCTTGGCACTGGGAGTTCATGATGAATTGACCGTTCCATAAAAGGTAACCCATCACGTTTTAACCTTTTGAAACCAAAGCCTAAGATAACTCGGCTATAGTGTATTTATAAAACATTGTAATATAACAATCAAGTAATATTCAAGGGGTTTGTAGGAATATACATGCACATAATACTTGTTGATAATAGTTAGTACAACAATGTGTGATCTATTGTGTTTGTTTCATTATAAAGCAGATCAAGCTAATCCCGGTGGGGTCACTCGGGGAGCTAATCTCCTTGTGGCCACTGATATTGTCCAGGAAGGTTTGGATATTCCTGCTTGCAACGTAATCATCAGGTACAACTTTGTCAGCAATGAGATTGGAACGGTGCAAGCAAAGGGACGAGCAAGAAAAGAAGGATCCAAATGCTATCTCATCGTTGAGAGGTAAGATCAAGTTTGCTCTGACATCAATTTGCTCTTAAAAGGGGGGGGGGGGGGGGGGGGGGGGGGTAGTGAGCACTATTTTTTTTTTTGCCCTCGAAAATTTGAAAAATCGTACCCCCCCCCCCCCATTGAGCGCCAGGGGAGGGGGCCTGGGCCCCCTGGATCCATCACTGCGTACTGGACATTTGTTGTGCACACTTGCCATTTATTTAAACCACAACAAAATAAAAGTTTTTGGGGGGCGGTTTACGGCACCTCAACAAGCTTTCACTTGCAAAACTGTCTGTTGTCCATGAAAACATCTTTTTCCCTAAATAATTATCATATAGCATAGGACAGTTAGGTCACCATAGCCTGGCTCTCTCATTGGATACTGGGAAGTGGGAAAAGAGTTGATTGGGATGATTTTCTTGGATGAAATTGTCCTGGATTTTGAAGCTTTAGTTTACCCAAACTACTATTTTGTGTGTAGGGGATCAGTTAATGAAGCAAGAGAACACAAGAACAGAGAGAGGGTTACGGAGATGGATAAAGCGATTCGGGAAGCAAACGCCTTACCAAAACATGTGTGGCATCAAGAAATACGTCAGAGGCAGGTATGTGTAAATCAAAATCTGCCATGAATATTACATGATAATAATATTCTATTCTTTTACAGCTCAATTATGATATCAAGTTTCCATGCACTTCAGAAAAACTTTGGAGTTTATTGTGTGTCTCTTAAAATCAGCAGATTAATATGAAAAGTTTTTAGTGATTTTAAAGAGGAGGATTATTGAAAAAGTATGTTGCACTGTATGTTACGGGCTCCATGCAGCTATACTTATACTATATTCAAAATATTAGCTTCAAATGTTACTTCTGTATTAAAAGATATTCAAATGTATGCAGTGGATCTGTATGCATTTGCTTAAGATAAGGATATGCAAGGAACCAGAGTCTGAGTTTATATATCTTTTGTTTTCTTTATACTCTTAATAACTGTTAACAGAGAATGTTGAGTACCGGTATTGTTTGAGGGGTTGATTTGATATATACAACATGTCCACAAACTATTTTACACATTTTACAGTGTGCTGTTCTTGATTTCAGTTGTCTATCTGTGTTGTTTCGTAACCCAACTCTTCAACTTGTATAAGTCCTAAAGGCTTTTATGTAAATGTGAAAACAAATAAATTTAAAACTTATGAGATAATGATCAAGACCTTAATAGATGGTTCTTTCACTTCCCTCTTTAATAGCTGACCATCATTAGGGACATTGAGGAGAAAGAAGAAAGGGAGAGAATCCAGCAAGAGGAGAGCCAGCATGTAGATGTCAAGCTTCTGTGCCGCGGCAATGACTGTGGGAAATTCATCTGCAAATCATCTGACCTGGAGAGGAGACTATCCAACTACACCTGTCGTGACCCCACTATAATTGCTGACAGGACAAGCATTGTTCGAACCAGTGGTATGACTTTTAAAGAGTCCAGAAGAATCGGTAAGTCTAAGAACCTGTTCTCACTCATTCCTAGACCAATCCATGCTATACTGATCTAGGCTAGATCGGTCTAACTGCTGCGAGTGTCATCTTCTGGATCGGTTTGCTTCCTAGATCGCCCCAGACTGTTACAGCTTTCAGTGTGTACACAAACCGTGCCAGGAAGTGATCTTCAACCGGAAACTAAATGAGTATGTTTTTGGCGGGAAAGGATTAAAAAAGAGAAAGAGATTACAGTACACGATTAAAAACAGAGAATAATATAAAGAAAGATAGAGAGAAAACGATAGAATGATAAAAACAATGAATAACACAAGAGAAGTGATAGAAGGAAGAAACAAAGAATAACATAAGGAAAGACAGAAAGAGAGAATGATAGAACAATATAAACAATGAATAACGTACATGTAATAGAAGGCGATGGAAGGAAGAAACAGAAAGGATAGCGAAGGAAAGTAAAATGACAAAGATGAGGCACTCTATTCGTTTAAAATTCCGTGCGAAACATTTCCCCTTCTGACCTTTGCTATCCCAGCAACAGGAGCGGTCTAGCTCGTGAGTGTGTACATAAAACGAAGTGAACCTCTGGAGCGATCCACTGGATCGGTCTAGCCTTGATCGAACTAGGAATGATTGAGAACGTTGAGGTGACCAATCACAACAAAATATATACTTTGCTTTGTACACATTGGGTTCTATTTAAGCAGTGTATTTGAAATACATGTATCAGCTTTATATACATGTATTATTCTTATAAAGAAATTCTGTCAGGGTAAATATGATCTGATTAAAGTTAAAAAGTGACTTTTTATATTGGGTTTATTTATTGTTATGCCTCCCCCCACCAAAGGTGGTGCCGGAGGTACTGGCCCGAATTCACAAAGGAGGTTTAATTTTATCCCATGGTTTAAACCCTCATCTAAAATTAGCACAAAATAAGCCTACCTTTGCATCTAAGATTGGACTCTGACTGTTTCATGCTTATTTTGCACTAATTATAGACCATGGGCTATGTAAATAAGGGTTTAAACCTCCTTTGTGAATTTGGGCCATTATGTTTTTGCGCTGTCGATCCGTACGTCCCGCTTTCTTGTTACCGCGATATCTCAAGAACCACTTAAAATATGATGATAGTATGTAACACCATGGGGAAACAATCCTAGTAGATATTGGAGAACCTAGGTCAAAGGTCACTGAGGTCAACTTCTGAAACTCAAGCTATTAGCATCGTTTTTGCAAAATCTCTAAAACAATAAAGATTATTTGGCTTAAACATGGTGATAACTTCAATATTTTTTATCATAGGAAGACATTCTGATCAGATTTTATGTTGATAGATCAAAGGCTGAAGGTTACAGAGGTCAATTTCTGAAATTCTAGATATTAGCCTTGTTATAACGATATCTCAAGAATCACCAGAGATATGAGGCTCAATCTTAGTGGCAGTATGTATCAACATGGAAAGAGAATCTGATTGGATATTGGCTAAATAGCTAGGTCAAGGGTCAAAGTTCACAGGTTAATTTCTGAAATTATCATCATTGGGAGACAATCTTATGATTAGATTTTGTGGGAAGTAGGTCAAAGGTCATAGAGGTCAATTTCTTTAAATAGAGGTACATGTATTACCCTTGATACATGTATCACTGTCTAGAACTTCTTGAGGTATGAGCTTCAAACATGGTGACAGAATTACATTTTGGGGCTAGTAGTTCGGGATTATACATAGTCGTCAGTATACATTTGATCAAAGGCTTTTTGTTTTCATTGTGATATGTCAGGAATAATTCCATCCTTTCCTATACTGAATTTAGGGCAGAGGCATATATGAGATGCAGTCAAATATTTGTTGTTTATAATTGTGATTATATATATTTATTTTTAATTTTTAATTTTTTTTTTTGGTAGGGGGGGGGGGGGGGGGGAGGCCGTTTACTGGTCTTTGCTTTTAACACTATATACATGTACATGTAAACCATACAAATACTCTTCTTGGGCCACATTGTATTTATTATGGGATAGATATACCAGAGGCTTAAATATATTCAACTGTTTCCAGTTACAAATGGGTACCGTAATTTTGCAAACTCATTGTGTTGCACAAGGCAATCGTTCCGTCAATTGGTGCCTATTGTTTTTTCCAGAATTACATGTGTGGCAAACGAGTGATAGTGCAGAGACGCGAAGAAAGCAACCGCAGTATCAAGTGCCCCATTGCATATCTCTGATACAAGTGAACTATATAAACTATATATAACTATTATCCTCCCATTTCTACCATTCTTTACCGATAAAGGCATTTTGGAATGCAAATGTGGTAACCAGCTTGGACAAGTCTTGGAGTTCAAGCGTCAGGATGAATGGAAACTTGGATATAACCTGAGCCCAAAGAGCTTCTTCTTCATGTACAATGATGACCCAGACAGCAAGCGAGTCTTTGCCAAGTGGAAGAAGGTGGATTTTCATATTGCTTCGGAGATGAGAAGCAGTAATCAAGTGGTTGATCCTTAAATTGGACACTCTTGCTACGCCCAGGAAAATGTTGTTGATGTCGAGTTGATAAGTCACAAGGTATAGGGTTTGATTCCGTCCCACGGACAGATTTTAATCAACGTCTACGATTGCGACACTTTTCCTATAGGTGAACTAATTGTGTACCTGGTAGGATGTATTCCATAAATGCACTGAGAGCTACGATTATCGTAGCTAGAGCCGGGGTAATAATATACAAATATTGACTGCTTTAAGGGGCATGGTTATAATTATTTCCCAAGGTGATCTCAAAACTGTACTGAGACCTGAGATGAAGTTGAGGGGCATATAGTACAGTCTTGAGATCACAGAGGAGCTATAATTTTAACCTTTGACCACAAAATGAGCAGTCGATATTTGTTTGATATACTGCATCCCAATGTCTAAAAAGAGATATTTCAACAAAACATGCCTGACAAAATGAATGTATCTGTAGAGTCTGGGGAAATTTACCCATCTAAGATCATTGGCGTCTCACTGCCCATATTCAGTGTTAACTTCACTCACAACCATTGCGTCCTTGTATTGTACGCGCAAGTAGAACTATGCCCAGTCAATATTTTTTTGCTATACTGCCCAGCAGTCAGTAGCGAATTTCTTGCCTGCAGTTTGACCAATCAAAGGCCTAGAATTTTGATACGCCGTATTTATACTGCTTTGTATGAAGGGCATGCAGTCATTATTCCATGATGTAATACATGCCTTAAAATCAGGAATAGAATGTTAATATCATGATTATATCAGAATCGTTCTGCAAAATCACTTGTTGCTGCTTTGACCTTTGAACTTTGCAAGCTACACTGGGGTTCATCTATAGATAATTAGACCAAAATAGACCTCTACATATATACCTGTCTTTGTGAAGTTGGAGAAGTGTGATGTTCCTTTTGCTGCAGAGAAGAAATAATGAATTGGCCAGTCATACAGCCCTAATCTTTATGAGAGGAGAAGTTGTATACAAATTTTTAACAAAGAAACCTTGTTTATAGAGTCGATAGTGTTGTTTATAGAATCAAGCATCAACTTCATAGAATCAACGAGCAGATAAGGTGTACCCATGAGATACATGTTCAAGTATATTATGTCTTAAAGATTATGAAAGAAATATCAGTGTACGTCACTGGCATTGGTTCTTGTGCTTTTTAGTGAATGTCATTTTCAGTATGTTTTTCTCTTCTTTAATTTTCTGATATTTTACTAGTCCATACATTTCATTTTGTGCATGATAATCAATTCAACATGACCTGTAGCTAGGTCTTCTCCAAATACAATTCCATGATATGATCTCAAGGTTAGCTCTAAGATTGCAATTGTGTACCTGCTGGTTTTGGGATACTGTGCTTTAAAAACATAGATTATTTCTTTCACTTTTTGTTTTGTGTTAATGTGTAAAGGTATTATGTGCGATTTCTTTGTTTTCTCTAAGCAAACACCAAATATGTATGTGCATGTTTATCTGAATTAATATACCAGAGAAAGAGTAATATATATTTCAAATTGCGGCCAGTTTTATAGATGTAGACATCTAATATGCCTGTGAGAGAGAATCAAAGAAGAAGAAGATATATATATTATATATTTGTTATCAAGATTTATGAATTCAATGAAAGTCATCATGAATAGATTCTAAATTTTGTCCTTATCACCGTGACCACTTTTGTAGAGCCAGTTATCATCTGTTCGGAGCAAGAAGGACTGTCATGCAGAGTCAGCACCCTTCTGGCTCCAAAAGGACTCTATTAGAATAGATGTTCAAGATACTGTACATGTATTTGAGCTTGAAACAGTTGAATCCTAATCCAGAATGCCTATTTGTATTACCAGTACATATTCAATGCAAACACCCATGAAATGCCATTGGCCCTATGGTTGATACATTTTATTAGGTTTAGGGTAGGGATTAGGGTCAGTTTAAGGGTAGCATTACCTTTAATAAGCCAAACAATTAGATCCAAATGTTTCACTATATAGAATTAATTATGTTGGCTTAAAGCTTATCGATCACCAAATTGTATTCTGCTCTGTATGTTAGCAGTTTCAAGTTGTAATGCTGTTTTCAAAATATGACTTTCAATATGACTTCTGTAAAAAGATTTTACAAGTTTAAGTACACTCTCTTTTAACATTAATAAAATGAAATTGTGAGTAGATCACTTGATGTACCCGTACGCACTCGCATAATAATTATGGGGCCCGCACGGAACCCATATCTGACTTGGGTTCTATGTTTGCGATTTTATGTTGTTCATTATTTTCTTCATACTCCTTATCCATTAGCCCATATAAACCCGAGTGAAGTTTATTGAGGTTGATTTTATCCATTCTGGCTGCATGTGAATGTAGACCAATTGTTTTGTGTTTTCTGTAAGGTGATTGGTACACTTTAAGACCAAACGGTACACAGAACCAATGTGTTTGCTGGTAATCTTTAAATTTCTCTATAATATATGTATATATATATATAATTAATTTGTTATCATCAATTTATCATTATGAAATATTCCTGAATTGCGCAGTTTGAACTGGGCTCTGATGATCTGAAATATTTAAAATGGCTAAAATAGGCCCTCTCCTGTATTTGGATTTATCATTTTTGTAATTGACATTCAGAAGATTGTCTATGGTTGAACTAATATAGCAACAATTACTTCAAGCAGAAGGTTCAGTGATCTGATCTGATAAATGAAATCAATTTGTACTAGATAGCAGGAATAGAATAACATCCATTGATATGAATTGTGAAAATTGTTGCCATTGATGAAGATTCATTCTTAAAACTGAAATTTAAATTTAAGAACAAGTATCTCTATATTGCATGCATGTTTTCCATCATAACTCAAATTAACGTCAGGTAAATATATTTGTATAAAAATGAATAAGAATTAATGTTGGAATATAGAGAGCAAAGGTTTAGCGGAAAACAGAATACTCCCAGTGAAAAGAGCAAGCATTTTTGCCCTGCCCCCTCCCATTTCTGTTGGTCTGATCTGAGAATGGTTATGGGCATTTACAGCTGTATCTCAATATCAAACATATATTTTATGAGGAGGATGTGATTATGGACGCAAGGCAAAGAAAATGTTTGTGATTTAAAACAAAAATTTATGACGGGGAATAGCAAACTGGCCCCTGTGTTCCATCTTTGTCAAACATATTCCAATGCAAAATTAAAAACATTGAAACTTGTGACCACAATGTATTGTTCTATAGGAATGTATAGAAATACCACTGTCTATATAGACCTGGGCCCCGTTTTATAAAGAGTCGTGTTAAATCGTAACTTATTTACGATTGATATCAATCGCAAATATGTACATTAGAGACGGGACAGCAAACTTGCGATTGATTACAGGACTTGCAATTGATTTGGATCAATCGCAAGTCTTTATAAGACAGGGCCCAGATCTTGTGTTTAATTGAATCCTTATTCTCATTGAAGCATGTACTACAGGAACCTGTACAAAAAAGTCATCTACCTATAAAGATTACTTTCTAGTCTCCCTTAATGTACAGGCTTCACTATACATATAATTTTGGATTGTATATTTGCATCATTGCATGTACAAGTATTCATGCAGTATTTTAAATGCTTGTAATGACAAAATGTGTTACTAGTTATATTTTAGGTGTGAGGTATGCTTCAATAATGATTTTTTTATTTTGAAGGGGAAAACCCCTTTTTTTACCACATAGTTATTTCACATCCATAACTATCCCATATAGTGTAACAGTTGATTTGTTGGTAGACAGTTTCCTTATGGTTTGACCTAATTGATATGCTGCACTTTGAAGACAAAAAACGCTGCAATTTTCCATCTTCATCTTTATTTTGCTTTTTTGTTGCCATTTTTATTGCCATTTTTTCATATCTCTGTTATTTTGCAAATACTATAATGACATTATTGTGTTGGAGTACTAAAGGAATATGTATCAGGAGATTATTCACGGCCTTTATGAAAATTGTAATACCTGCAGGAAAATTTGAAGAAAAAAATTGAAACAAAGTTCTCATTCCTTAGGTATCATTTTTTTAAATTCTGAATTTCTGTTGTTTACATAAGTCAAATTAGTGCTTGTAACATGTGTGTTAATAATTTTGTATAACAAGCTTAAATTGCATAAATATATGCAATGTCCAAACTATATGCTCACACACAGCCAACTATCTACAGACATCTACAGACATTAAACTGATGGTTTGTTCCAATTTATATTTGATATGACATTAATGATAGAAAACAGTTTTCAGAATACCCTCTAGATTGATAATCAATGAAACTTCAATGTGTATTTCTTGTGAGGGGGAGGGGTGTTTTCTGTATCGTTTTCTTTCTCATGATGATGCTGATGAGAATAAGAAGCACTTAGTAATTAGAAGTTACCATTTTGTTCTGCATGAACTGTACTGTTGCAATGACTGTATTAACCCTTTCATGACAATTATTCCACAGTTTGTTGTCTGGCTCAATAAATTTTGATTTTAGAGCCCTTAAAATAAATCAGATACACAAATAGAGAGGGCAAACATTTCTGCAACATTCTTCATCTATTTTATTTCATGACTATATTTCATTTGATGCTAGGAATTTTTAAAAGAAAATTAAGTTTTGAAATCCTTAAATTGATAACACGTTGAGAGATTAAAAATCGTTGTTTTTCTTTAAAAAAACTCGCCATTTTAAAAATTTGTTGACAGAATTCTTGCCCATGTTTATTGTTTTCAGTGAAATGGCATTTTATTCTATCTTTGTAGTGATTAAAGAAAAATATTAGTGTTGCCATTTTGAAGAACAATGTGTCATTGACCGATTTTGCCCTAAAAATAAACCCTGTCCTAAACTGTTCAGCTAGGGAATAGCTTTCACTTTAAATTTGCAATTCTATCCTGTGCCTTTCTTATGCTCATTATTTGTGTGTGAGTTATCTGGAAATGAAACTCATTAATGAGATTACTTTATCTTCTTTCAGATAAGATTAGATATGAAATAATATAATTGTTTGAAATGTATACATTGCATTAATTCTATTTCACAATTATGTTGCAGCATTGTGAAATAATTGTACTTTTTAGATTCATCTCATCTCTTCAAGTAATAAATGATAAAACATGCCAGTAATAAATGGTAGTACATGTACTTGATTTTGATTACTCTTTTCAATTATGTGGTACTTCTTCAATTATGCTGGTAAAGTTATTAATTCTGTTATATAAACACATACTCTCAAACGAAAATTGGATCGTAAATAATAATTTCCAGTCTGAAGTTTGCTATTTTGTAAGAAGTGATTTACAAGAAATCCTACTGTACATGCCCCCCCCCCCCCCTTCGTTGAGCCAAACCAAACAAATGGAGCTCACTACAGTGGCGGATCCGGGAATTTCTTACGGGGGGGGGGGGCACAAAATCGCATGGGGTGAAATATATGAAAAACGATGGAGCGGAGCGACCAAGCGGGGGTGTGTCTTGGAAGGGGTCAGAACTACCTCCCAGAGTAGTCGAATGGTCCGACCCCCCTGGCAAAAAATAAGAATAAAACATTAAATAAAACATTTAAAAAATCTCCCCTCCCCCCGCTTATTCAACGGCTGGCTAAGTCGCCGCTAAATATTTCCTCAAAAATTGGAGCAAAAAAAAAATTGCAATTGCTCTTGCATAGACTTAATTAAGACTGCTTTCATTTGTATGGTGTGACACTGTTAGGGATCTATTATATCTCAATTTCCTTCCAGTCATTTTCATCAATTTACACTCTGAGGGGAAATGTCTGGTCGGAGGTCTACCAACATATATTATGCTTGCAGCTGAAAACCATTTCTTCCCGAACATATTTCCGCAACTTCCAGCCAACTTTATATCATTCATCCCTAAGGCCAAAAAAAAATCATTTGGTTGTCCTCGACCGCCCGCTCGTCATTTTCGGGCACTCGTATTTTTTTTTTTTTTTTTTAATTTTTTTTTTTTTTAATTCAATTTTTTTTTTTTTTTTTTTAATTTAATTTAATTTTTTATGGGGGAGCAATCTTAAATGCCAAACATACCATTTTTATGCATTTGCAAGGATCAAAATGCGTCCCGTTGCCAGTTTGGTCTTTTCAGTACGCAATTAGGTATTTAATAAACTTGCCATTTTTATTTTTCTATGTCAAAATGCTGTTCATTCAAGTCAGGTTCTGAGCATTCTTAAACTCATTTTAAAGCCCATCTGTACAAGTTTACAGGAGGGATTAGACCATCGTGCAAGGTCACTGGACAGGTGGTTATCTCATCAAATCAGCTCTCAGTTAATATAAGATAAAGAGGATAATGGGGGACCAGTGGTCACCGATTAGGCATTGTTGCTACATAGAGGGCGCAAGTAGCTATAAGTAGTACCAAGGTGCTGTATTTCAAAGCCCAAAATACTTTCTGTGTTGGCCTTGATATTCATTGTATATTAAACTAGTCTTTAACCATATTAAAGTGTTTTATAGACTTGTTTGTTTAAATGCTTGACAATCCCAATTATTTATTTTTTTTATGGAAAAAAAAATTATTACAAAAAAAAAAAAAAAAAAAAAATCAAGAAAAAATAAATAAAAAAAAGACACACAAATAATGAAGTTTTAAAAAAAAATTAAAAAAAATCAACAACAAAAAAAATCCGCCCGCCCGCCTCTACTCCAGGGGGGTGTTTCACAAAGATCCTAAGTTGAACTTATCTCTAAGTTGGACTTAAAATTTATGGGAAGCCATTAGCATCCTTGAAAATATTTTGTAATTTTTTTTTTAGAAGGCATAAAATGTTGATTCAAATCATTCATATTTTCTATTATCATGGTAGATTTCATGTTCTTGATGTGGAATTGATGAAAAGTCTAAAATACTCCAATTTTTGCTTTTGAATATATTTCATTTTAAGGCTCCAATGGCTGTCCATACTTTTTAAGTCCAACTTAGTGTTAAGTTCTACTTAGGATCTTTGTGAAACACTCCCCAGAATAGCAATCGAGGACAACCAAACAATTTTTTTTTTTAGCCTAATGTGCCAGCTTGTAGAAAGTGGATAAATAAAATGAAACCCTTCAGATGCTGTAAACATCTGAATAATTATATATTTCTATTTGCAAAAACATGAGGTTCCACAAAAGAAAGATATCACAACAAACATGTCCCACATGACATCATGTTTGTTGCATAAGGATGTGAGGAGTGAGAGTGTTTGCATGAGTAGAAATCTGTCAACATGGATGATATGCAAATGATTATATGCCCAAGAGATCCACAAATATGTGAACAAATCACAGAAAAATATGCTCTATTCATGACAATTTCATGAAATTTGATATCCAAACACAATTTCTTTATATCATTTTCAATAAAAAGATAAAGAATGAAATAGATATCATTATTTTGCATGTGCAGAGGATTTGTTTTTCCAACAGAAGAAAACTACAATAAA